CCAGTAAGGCACCTGTTACTACTAGCGTGGCACTTGTTCCTAGTAGCGAACATGACTGACACCTTGTGATACCTTGTCCAGTTTCACATCGTAAAGTTATCAAATGGCGCACGAAAAACATGCGATGCCAAAAGTGAGGTTTACGTTTGCCGAAACAGGGGCGCACGAAGGGTGCCACCGTTCGCTTCCAAAAGGTGGCATCCAACTGGAACGAGCCAGGAGTATTCAATTGTCAAGCAACGCTCAAGGATTCAGGAATGCTGCTAGTAGGTTGGAGGCCATCGCTATGAGAAACAAAGAAACAAGAAAAAGCAGGTGTACTATAATTTGCTACTAGGTTGGAGGCCATTCCTATTAGCGTCCTTGCTCCTACTAGCGATGCCCTTTGCTCCTAGTAGCGTCCTTGTTGCTTCTAGTGAGGCACTTGTTACTAGAAGCGATGCACTTGTTCCTACTAGCGCAACGGTCTTTTCTGCTTCGAAGCCGCGATGCATGGGTTCGGGGCGTTCTTCTGACCCCAAGGGGTCAGCGGGCAAAGGAGTGACATCTCAGAGTCAAGCTGCAAGAACATACACGGAAATGACGTTTATGTTATATATATTTTGTTTTTTCTATTTCTTTTTGTTTTAAAGGGGGGTAGGCCGCTAGGAGGTAGGTAGTAGCTACAAGTAGCTACTACTTAGGATGCAGGATACCTCACGCTTCTTCAAGGAAGCTCTCCTGCCGGTGTAAAGGCGGCGGGGGAAGCTTCCTTGATGAAGCGCTTGCAGTAATGATTTGGTTCCTAGACTTTTACGGGAAACTTAACTAGCAATGGCCTCCAACCAAATAGCAAATCAAAATACACTTCTTTGCGACAGCCTTCAACCCAATAGCCATTGTTCTTGTTGTAGCGGAGGTTTAGAAAGGCGTGAACAAACAAAACAACAGCTGCATTGCTGAGCGATGCTGAGCGATGCTGAGCGATGCTCGGCGCTATCTTGTCGAGTAGAATCCATCGCTGAGGGCACTCTTTTGCTGGAGACAATGCTGGTCCCCCTTCGTCAGGCGAGTGTAAGAAATTCATTCCATAAACACAAAGCTTCATAGAAGCGCTGCCCCCCCTCGCATTCTGTCGTGGAAGCATCATGGTTCAGCATCCTTCATTCTACACATGAGGCATGTTTTGAACAGTCAAGCTTCTGCCATTTGGTGGCAACAAGAACGCTGCTACTTTAGGGTTAGGTCTTAAATAGTGATCAAGAATGCTGCAGGGCAAGGCCGGCAAAGCCTCAAGGCCCAGTCTGCTCTTGCGACTGGCACGGCTCAAAGCCAAATTCAATGGCAGCCGTTGATGAGAAGCTGCTGGTATGTTCTCTTCTACTTCAACTATCTGGTTTTCTAGGTTTCTTATTTGCCAAATTGCCTTCGTTTGGTCTCGTCTCTTGTTTTCCTTTGTTTCCCTTCTTTAGATCGTTTTCTCTTGTCCTTCCGTCCTTCCTTATCATTCTTCTGCCGTTTCTTGAACCAGAAAGACGGTCTTTCTCTAAGCTTTCTGGGTTTGATCTTCTCTGTTCTTCGGTCTGATTCTCTGGTTTCACGCGAAAATCGCATGCTTCTCTTCTACGCCAGCTCTGTCGGAGAGAGCAGTTCACCGTATCACTATTTGCTGGCTAAAAACAATATATTTTTTAAGTTACTAACAGCGATAGCCTCCAACCTATGGTGCTTTTTGTGTTTCCTGACACTCTAATTATGCTTCTATCACTATGCTCGATTTGTCAAACGTACACATGTTGTTTTGGTCTCCCGCGGCAGACCGGCATCACATGCACAGCCGGCAGGTTGGTACACTTTGTTTGAGGCCTCAGCGAGTTGCAGCAAACAGGTCTGTTGTACATTGTAGTACTGCCTTCATCCTTGACGCTATTAGTCTGCCCCCCTGAACAAACTCACTCACGGTAGCTACAGTTCCATGGATTTATGCAAGCAGCCCAGGCAAACGTCAGCTGGCTAGAACGAACGTTGGATGAGAAAACACAGTTGATCTGGATAGATCTGTGCAGCTCTTTATTTGGGCATTGAACACCTGAGGGCAGGGCTTTGATTTGACATTGCGTTGCTCCGCCAGAGCCAAACGAGTCAAACGCCGAACAAAAGCCTTGGGCCTTTTGCCAAGGCAAAGCGATCTTCATCTGATCGCTCTGACGTGGAATCGATTGCACAAAGAGGTCTCACGGCATAGGAACCATGTTCGCTACGTTCGGGGCTCCTGGCATCGTTCTTGGAGCAAGGACGCTACTACTTTATCAGACCTTGTCTATTGTGTATTGAGCCTTCGCCTCCAAGTGTCTATCTGTCCAGATACACCGCCAGCGTCTTGCTGTTCGGATGTACCCGTAACTTGAGCATTCATTCTGTAAAGGAGCAGCAAGGGCGCACAGGGCACGACAAGTTTGCTTCATAAGTGTCCTCATGGAGTATGCAGCCTACACAGGCGCCCAAGCTTTGCGAGACTGAGCATCACTCTTGGATGTCTCTGCCTCTGATAAATCTCGAACTACTTGGATTTGATGAGATTTCTCTCCCGCAGGGAGATCTCTTGCTCCGTCGCTGAGATTCAAGGTCGCTTCCTCCGGAGACCCGAATGCGATCCACATGCCGCAACCGACAGGACCAGTGAAGAGAAAACAAACACAAAAAAACATGCAATGCACACATAACATGATCCTAGGCGGTATGAATGGAATTGTTCTTCACAAATTTGGCACAGCAGAAGGGATTTTTCGATTATCAGTTGCATGGCCTGACCTCGCATGCATTGGGCGCGTTAGCTTCACAGCCCTTGCACCTCTTCTGCAACAGCAGGGTCCAACGGTCCAACAATTGTGCACAACCGTCCGGTCAGCCAGCTTGAAATGCAAAGCCAACTTGGTGATAGGGAAGCATCTAGGAACAAGAAGCTACTAGGAGCATACAAAACACATCGATTGAGCGTTCCACAAAGCCGACAACCAACCCCAGAATGCACGTCGGCCCCCAGTGGATGGTATCAAGTGCATGAGCTGTCCCGAATTCCCAATGTGGCTACACTTGACGAAGATCCTGTCTAAAAAGATATGGACAGCAACAAGGTCTCTCTTGATTCAATACCTGTAAACTGTAAAAACGCGGACCTTCCAAGTGGCGCCACAGCTGGGAGAACACGCAGCCGTCCAAGACGCCAGTCCATGCAGCCTTTCCTTCCCTCGACCAACGGTCAAAAAGGTCGGAAAAGACGATCAAAATACTTTCGGATTGACCTAAACAGCCTCTTGTTACTACAGGTGAAGCGGTTCCCAAGGAAGCTTCCTTCTAAAGAGTTTCTTGGTACTAAGAAGCTTCAAAGACATACTACAAAACCTCTTGTTACTAGTAACTGGCCTCCACCTAATAGTGATGGCTTCCACCTAGTAGCTTCTAGTTACTAAGAAGCTTCAAAGCTCTTCGGATTGGAAAACGTTCGGATTTTAGATTCAATAGGTTTCCTACACCGCTGCATGGCACCCCTTTGTCACGGCCACACCAAAGCCACAGCCGGCATTTGGTGCGAAAAGCTTCAGCAACGCTCTGGACTGTTCCAAATTCAGACTGCGGCAATTTGGCGCAGTGGCAGGAGATGCTCAAATCGGCTTAAGAACCGCTGTTTTAGGAGGGTGTGTGTTTCAAACGACGGCTGCTTTAGACTTGACCCACAATCAAACCGTTTCGATCTGCCAACCTCCCATGAAGAAGAGATGTTTCCGGATCCAGGTGTTTCCTCATTGTACAAATTAGGTCGGCATTGATCAAATCCTTTTTCAAATCTATTTCTTCCGTTGGCATCATCTCCCTGGCGAGGAGCATTGGCCACCAACTCATCCAGCGTGCTTACCTGCACAGTATCATGACATGGTACAGAATGGAAGAACCAGCGAGATTCCTATCATTATTTGAATGCTTTTGGCTTTCCTTTCCGTTTGTTGTTCCAACACTTGATTGCTACCAAGATGCTGTACAGCTACAACGAGATGATGTGCGTCCTGTTCGTACATTTTGGAGTCCTCAGCAGCTCAATACTTGTTGAGCGTGACGCGCTGTGCCACTGCTTTTTGACGTATGGTGACGAGGCATTCATTTTGTAAGGTGAGCCTGGTAGACCTTCTCTTCTATCTCTCTCTCTCTCTCTCTTGTTACTAGTAGCTACTTGCTCCTAGTAGTACGGCCAGGAGCTCCTAGTAGCGTCCTTGCTCCTAGTAGCGATGCCAGGGGCCCCTAGTAGTGTCCTCGCTCCTGAGGAGTACAAAAGTGCGAAGAGTTGAGTAGTTGAGCATTGTTCAATCTGCAAAAGGCTTTGGACCTTCTGAGCAGACTTGCGCAGCCAAGAAGCGACTCTTTACAATGGTCCTGCAGCTTCTGGAAGCAAGAAGCTACTAGCCGCTCCCGACATTACTAGTAACAAGAAGCTACTAGTAACAAAGGGCCTCGCTACTAGGAGCAAGGACGCTACAACTTTGGGTCAGGGTGAACGGAGGACTGCCAGGGCTGCCAGGACTACAGCACAAAAGGATGAGAAAGTCACCTCTCACGCCAGTCTCACTCGAATCTGCTACTTGTACGGTGTGTCACCATGGATATCCGCCGACCCCTGCCAGTGGCGGCGGGGGAGCGCGTCAGAGAACTTTGCCGCATCCAGCTGCGTGTAATGGCAGCGAGGACACGACGTATTCACGTCCATTTGCATTCCGGTTTGTTCAATCTGTAGTAGATGAGAGTTCTAGCACATGCGCTTCTTGTGTATTTCCGATCCTTTTTTCACAACATCTCCTTTACCCGGCGGGTCCTGTACCATTGGCCGAGGTAACTCCTGGCATTGCCCAGGAGTTGCCAGTAAGTTTGGTATGAAATTCCGAAAGGTCACAAATTCATCGTGAAAGTTTCACAATGCTTCGACAAAAATCTTTGATTGATGTGAAACAAGTCATGACAAATCTGAGATGTCCTTTTCATGTCACTCCGCATCAGGCTCCTTCCATTTTTCCAAGCTTCGGCATGGCTCCACCAAATGTCCCAAAGTGGACAAAGCCTGACCGGAAGGAGAGACGAAAGGAAACAACCAAGAGCAAAACCTGCTCTCCATTGTTTTGGAACCTGGCGATGGCCTGGCGATGGCCTAGCGATGGCCTCCAACCTAATAGCGTAGCGATGGCCTCCAACCTACTAGCAATGGCCTCCAACCTACTAGCGATGGCCTCCAACCTAAT